TTATATAAAAATCGTAATAATTATTTTATTAAAAACTTTTCTTTTCAATATTTTCTTCCTTTTCATTACTTTTTTACACAAAATTTAGTGCATACTATTAACTGCAACTCTGTGGGTAAACAGATGTCCGCCGCCATATTAATCGTCTTCCGTCAGTTCCGTTTATTCGTGCGCGGGCGTAAGTTGCGTTGAAATGCCGTGTCATTAATTCGTGAATTTCAAAAAAATCTGTTTTTGTAAAAAAGTTCTATAAAGTGTAATCTATAGTTTAAGTTGTGCTCTATAAAAATCGTGTGAAAAGTGTGTGCGGGAAGTGTGTATTTAGTATTATTTTCAAAATTAAAATTTTGCCAAAGCAAGTAGCACGAAAACTAGTTGAAGCGAATCAGAGCAGACACTGTTTTACCCACTTGCAATAAATCCACCGTTAATGCAGTTCTACCTGGATTTCATGAAGCAAAGTATAGTATAATTTTAGGCAAAAGTCAGGTGAGCTTTCTTCCTTTTTTAATATGCATTAAATAAATTTCTAAAATCTTATGAAAAATGACAATTTTAAATACATAACCTATGTTTAGTTCTTAAAACAGTTTAAGAAACAATTTTTGAAATAATGACATACATATAGCAAATGTGTTATATACATTATAAAATAATTTTAAGAATATTGAAGACAAATTTTGAGGAGAGCACAAATTAATTTCATAATAAGACGTAACAATTGTGATCTCATTAAATTTTTTACTGAATCACACTTGTTTTTCAAATCATATCTGAAAAATACCATAAATGATTTATTCAGTAGTTTAGAAGTAGTATTAGYAGTAGTAGATTTAGTTAAGTTTTTATATTAGAGTTAGTAGTCTATAATCATTTGCTATATAAATACATATGTACCAGAGCTATTCGGCCTTTATAAAAAATTGAAATCTTTAACTTAATTGAAAAAATGCCTTAACTTAATTGAGATAAATAAAAAAATATACATACAGATTTTAGTTGAAAGTTGCTTTTTAAAAAATGAAAAAGCCAACAAAATTTAATATAATTAGAGACACTTAAATTTCCGAAGCAGCAAATTTTATTTTCGATTTTGCAATTTGTAATTTAAGCATAATTATTAATTAATAAAACAAAACAAACAAACATTTTTTCATATAAGGATTTGATTTGAATCACTCAGTTTATATGACACTTATGATATGGTCCGATATCGGCTATTCCAATAAATGAGTAGCTTCTTGGTGAGTAATATCTGAGATTGGTATCTCAAAAACTTAGGAACCAGTTCGGATATACAAGCGGACCCTGATCATTTATAGTTATGTTTTATAGGGCCTTCGATATTTCCTCTTCCGGTGAACTTGATATATCCAAGGTACGTTTAAGGTATACAAAAACGATCTCATATTATTTTCCAGGAGACTTGTATTCGAATATTTTTTAAAATATGACAGCTCAAGAAAGACGACTTTTGGGATTTAAAAAAGCTGACTGTAGCAATTGTTTAAAATTTTAAGGGCATATGACTTTTAGTTGGCCCTAACCTTCAAAAAGCGAGTGGCAGCTGTCGGATCATTAGTTTATGAATTATGTACATCATTTTGAGTGAAAAGAAATTTTGGTATTCGTGTGTTAAAAAAATATTGCTGAAGCAAAAAATTGGCTCGTTGCTAAGTTTCGAGGTGCTATACGCCTATATTTACAGGTGCACTGAAAACGGTGAATGCAGTGGATATCCAAAAAAGTTGTTACCGACGAATTTTTATTGACTACTGGGACCATCAACAGCGACTATTATTTGAAAAAAGGGAAGCGCGAAAAGTAGGAGGGTTTATATTAATTATTATTAATTAAGAGTGATACCCATGAAGGGAAGAATGTTGAATAAAAAAATGAATTTTGTTTACCATGAAACGCCGGGGACACTATTCTGCTCGAGGTCAGTGGAAAGAAAAAACCATGTAAAATAAAAATGCATTATAATTTTGTATTTATTTTATTAATATTTTTTATTTATTACTTAATTTAATTAATTTGTCCGTTCTCGTCATAATCATAGTATTCAATTACAACTACAATAATTTTAAATAAATAATATAAACTGACTTAAGTATAAATTTAAATTTTCGTTTGTGTTGAACATTCATTAGTGTCGATTTATAAAAACCAAAAACAAAACAAAATGCTAAAACAAACGCAATTTTTGACTTTTCAATTCACACTCTTCATTTTCGATGCTAAACTAAAGTAAGATTTTGAATTTGAATTAAATAACAAAAATATTGCAAAAAATTCGCTTAAGTTGCCGACTGGCAAAATAAGTAGTAAGCTTAAATTAAAGGCGAAGATATGGAAATGAAATCAAACTAAAAAAATGAACTTTTCAAAAATCCATTTATGAAAATATTATGTAGTGGATAGTGGCTAAAAGTTAAATAAATAAATAATATGACATTAAGTTAAGTAATATTTTAAAATCATAAAAATATAAAATAAAATAAAATACTTCTGCTAAATTCACTAGTAAGTAAATGCACCTAAAAGCACCGATTTTTATTTTATTTTTAATTGAAAATTTCTTTAAAAATAAACACAGTGCGTGTTAGGCAATATGTAAAGATGTACTATATGTATGTATGTAGTTACTAATGGGGCGGTATAAATATTGTTGGTATGTGTGTGAATGTTTTCTTGTGGTAGTTTAGTGATTTGCTATTGCAGTGCTGCCCGAAAATGTGCCGTGAACACATTAACTTCTACTCCAACTAAACGTGTAAAAAGAAAAGAGGGGAAAAGTACCAATAAAAAGAGCTAAAAAATTGCTAATTTGTTTCGAGCTTTTAAAAAGTTTTCATTGTGTGCGTGTTTTCAGTCGTTGACACACCGATACCTTCTATTGTCACACACAGCGCACACAGCGCATACAGGAAGCTTAATTTAAATATTTTTTCGATTTTTTCTTGATTTTTCAAAACATAGCTTTTGAAGTACATTTCATTTAACTACTTCCGATCCCACCACCTTAACCCATCGACTTCCCCGTCTACTGCACCGTTTCGTGCGCAACCGCACTCGCAGCTGCCACAGCACCGCCGATTTGCTGTCGTTGTTGTTGCTCTTGCATGTGACGCATGCGGAAGAGACGCAAAGTCATCCAAGATGCGAATGTGCCAGGCGCCGGCATTGGCGTTTGCTTCTCGAGCGCCTCCTTTTGCAATTGATAGCGATAGAGCAGTGAGCCGGCAATTAAAGCGGAAACAATGGTAGCCGAAATGACGACAATGAAAAGTATACTGAAGCCCGGCACCGGCATGCAGATGCCATAGACCACCTCTTCACTGATTTTACCCTGGAATACGGTGACTGCTTCCTGTTTGGAGTCTGGCGAGAAGGCTAGATCGGCTTCGGAGATGACATCGTAGAGACCGCTAACGCCAACATCGGCGCTACGCACTTTACGATCGGCAATAACGATCGATCTGCGACGACGGCGTGTGAATTTTTCGTGTTCGTCTCTGTCAGCGGTTTTATTTGCTTTTTCTTTCAACAATTCCTCGCTAGCATCGAGATCAATGTGATCTTCGCGTGTGCGTTTCAATGCTTCCGCTTGTGGGCGGTAAATTGGATGTGGTGCATCGTCATTCGTTTTGGGCTCTAACGAACGTGGTCCCGCCATGGGCACACCCATACGTTTTTGCGCCTCAAATTGGCGTGGTCCATGCGGGAATTTACCGCTTTTCTTCAGTTCCATATATTGTGCCTCATCCAAATCGGCCAACTCATCTTCGCCGAATAAGGAATCGAGATCTGAGTCTTCGGGTTCTTCGTGCACCGGGCGTGGCGAGAGGTTGGCATTCTTTTCGTGTATATTAAATTGATCCAATATGTTGGCAATGCCACTATTGATCGACGACAACTGTTTGCGGTTATGTATTATGTCATCGTAGAAGATATCATGATCGCCCGTACCATCGCCACCCATACCAACACCCGCGCCACCTAAACCACCACTCCCAACACCACCTAAAGGCATACCGCCCAGCGCTGGTTGATGTCCTATACTTTCTTGACTGAGCTCGTTCAGATTGCCTGGCGGTTCGTTCATGAGCACATCTTTACGCTCGTTAACGCTACCCGTGAGCTGACAATGATCCAAGCAACCGTGTCGGCAGATCTCCACTTTGCATTTTATGTGTACGCTCAGCGCGTCGGGGAACTTGAAGGCGTGGAAGAAGGCATATGTTATGACGGTGGCACGCTCATCGGGCGCACGTGCCTTCAAGAAGCGTGAGATCATCTTCGGACGCAAAACGCAACCAAATTCATCGGAAAGATTGATAACATGACCGGAACCATCGGAAGCGACGCACGACTTGACACGCATATCGAATTCACCTAGACAAATTGTTGGAAGAGAAGAATGAGTCATTAGTAATATTCAGCATTCCATGTTTGACATTAATATAATAAGGTATTTTGAGATAGTGGAAATTAAAGTTTTTAAAAGTTTGTTATCGACGAGTGCGAAGAGCATAACTATGTTCATATAATTGTTGAGTGAAGTAAAATATATGCTATGTCAATGGGTACAAAAGTAAAAGTGGCCTTAGGGTAGCTATTTCTGCAAGAACTTAAATTTTTTATTTTTTTTTTTCTGTGATGAATACTTCTTTCTACCTTTGCTCGGGACTACTTTTAATACTGTAGGTCATAGTAGTGAGTCCTAATCTTACTCCAGATTTTTCTACTTTAGATAAAGGTAAAAAATCAGAAACTCTGTTTTTTGAGTTTTTCATATAAATTTTGAAGTTATGTGAAAAAATGTGTTAACACAAAATATGTAAATCTTTTTGTTTAGACGCAACTTTGCTACGCACACATTTTCTATAGGAAATTTTTATGGTAATCTAGATAAATCGTTTTTAACCCTTAAAAACTAAATCCTGGCTTTCCTTCTCTTCTTTCTTTTCTCGATCTAAGATCGCCCGTAAACTACTTTTCCTTTCATTTATGTCTTTTTATCAAACACGTCATTTGAAAAGTAGCCTGGTACATAGATGGGGCTAGTAAAATGATATCCATATCATCTTTAATTAGCCCTAACCTTAAAAAGGCCCTGTGGCATCGTTACTTTGTGAATTTTGGCCTTTTGACTGAAGCAATTTTTGGCGAAAAAAAAGTTTTTACTATGGTAGATGAGGGACTTTTCAATTGACCTATTATGCTGTTTCCGAAACATGATTCACTTCAACACCTAAAGTTTAGTTAAAGTTTATTACTCATCATATAAGATATTCGAAGTAGAGTAGTTCGATAAAAGAAACATGCACAACTACGAGATAATTTTTTTTTCTAAAAAAGTGGAAAATACTAGAAAGCTAGTAAAGAAGGTGTAAGATCGTGTAGAATCGAAAAAAGATAAAAGAAAATAAAATTAGCCTAAATGGCGGAATACAGAGCTTACCACAAGCACCTTCCGTTCCGAAGTAGCAAAAGTGTAAAGAGCTTTGTACTCAAATTATGAATAAGATAACATATCTTAAATGTTGGAAATAAGCTAAATACTGTTGATATGTGTGTGAAAATGTATCTAATTTCTAGTGTTTTTAAAGAAAGTCATCTTCCAAGTATTGATAGAAATGATCAGAGACAGATTTTAGTAATTATTTTTTGTATCGACATATACAAAATTTCTTTAGAAATGATTCGTTGCCATTAGAATCTGTTTTTTTTTTCTACTTTCCATGTCTTTCACATTATATGCCCACTCAACGTTTATCTTATTTCCACGAAAAGTCGAACGAACTCGAAAACAAATCGAATTTCAGCATACCGCGTATCTTATCACCGGAAATTGGTGTTGCCTTAGCTTCAGCAAACAAAACACTAAGTATGCAAATTTGAACTTGTCTTGTATCGCTACTGTTACTGATTACAGAAATAATCATCTGTCAACATACATAACATTAACTTGAGCAGCGGCCCCAATCGCTATTTATAAGAGCAATCATTGTCGGTTAGGTTAGTAACTCTTAGCTTAACCACCAGCAGGTGTTAGGTGTCATGAAGTTTGTCGGGTTGTTTGTAATAAGCGTCTGCTTGGCAGAATGTGCGTTATTGAATGTACAGGAATTAAGTGGTGAAAATTTGAATTATGGAGCTTTACCAACATACTCGGCCTTGAAGGAATATGCTTCTAAATTGAACGGAAACTCGTTACTACAAGCACAGTATGGAAATAGCTTCTTTCCATATCTAACTGCAGACCAAAATGCAATTTCATCACCATATTTAGATTTTATACGCCCGCAGTTTTCTGTTCCTTCCAACAGTGAAGTGTGGAAACCTGCTTTATCTAATGAGAATATTATAAGCAATTCCAACCTACACGCTGAAAATACACAAAATTCGTTTTCGGAATCTTTGAATCTACAACCACAACCAGCAAATCCGATTTCGGTTATTAATGTACCCCAATCACCGCTGGAAAAGCCTACTGCAATGTTAAATAATCCTCAATCGCAACCACAAAATCCGTCTAATGTAAATGTTCTTGCAATACCACAAACTCCAACAGTGAACATCCAGTATCCCCCGTCATCTCAATTATCTTCCAACATACAAGCTTCTCCGACGCAACCACAGAACCTTACTGCAAACGTCCAGCAACCACCGGCTCAGGAAATTTCTTCCAGCAATAAATTTCCGCAGTCGGGACCACAAACTCCAACAACGAACGTTCAATATCCACCGGCCACGGAATTATCTTCCACTAACAAATTTCCTCGGCCGCCACCACAAACTCCAACAGCGAACGGTCAGTATCCACCGTCCTCGGAATTATCTTCCACCATAAAACTCCCGCAACCGCCACCACAAACCCCAACAACGAACGTTCAGAATCCACCGTCCCCGGAATTATCTTCAACAATAAAACTTCCGCAACCGCCACCACAAACTCCAACAGCGAATGGTCAGTATCCACCGTCCTCGGAATTATCTTCAACAATAAAACTTCCTAAACCACCGCCACAAACTTCAACAACGAACGTTCAATTATCTTCCAACATACAATTGCCTCAGCCGCCAAAAGCTCAGAGTAACGCTATCAATCGTCCGGCGCCTTTAAGTAGCATTGGACAAAACCGTCCAAGGCCACCAGTTTCCGGAATTCAAGGGTAGGGATTTCAGTTCTTATTTTACTGAAGTGTGTCGCTCTCCAGATTAATCGTTTAAGAAAAAAAAAAATATTTAATTATTGTTTGTTTATCTTCTCTCTCAAAGAAATTAATATGTTGAAGTATTTCTCCTGAAGTTTTCATGATCATCTTGTTTATTGACAAAATTATCTGTTATTGCTTAATTAATTTAATTCGAAACGCCAATATTCAATTTTAGAAATATAATATTATTTGAAACTTGATCCAGCTTAAACAGTCTTTCACTTCTATTAAACCGGCTTAACACCTGGGTTATTTGCAGAAAACCACATAAAAGTACTGCGAAATTCACTCATTAATTATAAACAGCTCGAGGCGCCACTAACTTTCATGTGGTAAATCCAAGTTTTTAAAGCAAAAACTAAAGAATAACGTTGTAATATAAAGATGACAGTATAAACGAAACACGATCTTCTTATTGTGGTTGTCGATGACGACTTTGTCAGAAGGTGGTTCACATTAATGGAAATGAAGAGGAAATAAAAACGGCAAAAAAGTCTTAGCTTGCGGAAACCAGAAAGAAGAAATATTTGAAAATTTATTGTTAGTGGGCTTACAGGCAAAAATTAATTCTAATATCCCTCAATTCTTACAATTTCTTTTCACTTTTATAAGCGTGCGAACTACTCTTTTTACTTAAAATTTTAACTCCCATAACTCGCAACCCCAATATGCTTATAATGTCACTTACCGCGATAATCATTGATGGCAACCACAAGTGTTAGTGTAGAACCTAACGGCACAATACCGCTGACCGGCGGCGCCCATGGTCCTTTACCATGTTGTATCTCCATCCAACAATCAACATTATCGCCTAAAGGAAAGCATTAGAAGATGAATATATGAAAGGTTGTGTAATAGGATTTTATAACAGGAAACATAATTTAGTTATTTGAAAGAAAAAAGAAAAAAATTAGATCAACTCACCGCGGAAGTCCAATTGTATTACATCCAGATCGGCAATGACCATTGGTGGTTTCGAAGCAGTCTTCTCGTAGTCATTGAACCATTCACAGCGTAAACGCTTCGCCTCGTCCCAAACTTCCAGTAAATCCTTGTCATATTGCACAACCACCTGTTATTTAATAAGTAAATATGTGTATTTTTGTTAAGAAATCGATTTTATTATGGCCTCGATTAGGAAAATGCTTCAATTAAAGTATGATCAACAAATATTTTTATAAATAGCTAAATGATGATTTCCGCTTTTGATCACCGCTAGAAAGCTCTATAATCGAAGGTAGTCATACTAATCATTTCCCTTATGGAAAACTTTACAATGGGAGTCTTCTAATGACGATAAAGGATCCCAATATGTGTTATGGATGTTCTCTCTTTCCTCTTCCCTTGGATTTAGGAGAAAGGAATTCGAACTTGTCAAAGTCTCTTCAGTGTTGAGTTGGGTTTAAATAGGGATAGTTTTCTAGCAAATAATCTGGAATTGAACTTGATGGATATTTTGATCGTATCGAATTTCGAATTATAATTAAGTGTGCGTACATCAAAAAGACATATTGAGATCCTCTGCTATCTTTCTGCTGATGACACGACGATTTTCTTTGATTGTCCTTTGTTTCTTTAACTTTTTTAATGTTATCGTCATTCAAACTGCTGGATGAATGACTCACATGAGGAAAGCTTCAATGATGTCACGACTTTCTTGAATGCTTTTTCTATTCGAAAACTATACTCATCCTATTATTAAAAAAAAAAAAATAATTTTTTGTAACCTACATGTGATTATATAGAGTAAAGAGTGTAATTAACAGGAAGAGACACAACGGCGTAAGCGAGCAAATTCCCGCTATATGAGGACAGTTAGAGATAGGCCATGTGAAATATTTATGGATTTGTATATACTGATTACGCCAAAAAGTATTTCAGATAGCTATACGAATTATTATATAACGGTACTCAATTTCTTACCGCAAAACACTAGGAGTAAAATGTTTAGGCTGTGACCTCCAAATGTCGCCAAATTCTGAAAATCATTGTGTTATCAACTACTGCTAGTAGAGCAACATATAAAATTCTTTCCCTGCAATAGTCACTGGAAAAATTCCTTACCCACGGACTATTTTGTCACACTTATTTCATTTCTCTTGGTGACTTCCGACAACTTGAGTCAGACAATTTTTTGCATTCCTTTCATATCACATTCTCACCCTTTTATAAAACATTTTTAGTATATATAATTCAGTATTTTTCATTATACATTGTTAAAAAAAGTACCCGGAAAATGTAAATAATGACGTCTTTACGTAATCCCCACCAGATGTAATATATTTACACTAACGATTTTCAGTCCTCGGAAACACTTTTCACAGCACTTTTTGGAGGATGGCTTTCAACCCCTTCAGCGAATTTTTTTATTTCTTCGATCTCCTGAAAACGAGTTCCACAGGGCATCAATTTCAGTTTGGGGATAAGAAGAAATCACACTGAGCCAAATTTGATTAATACGATGGCATTCATTGCATTTTGGCTTTAAATTCGGTCACAATCCATGAATTGTTCTTCTAAAATCGTCAATCAATCGTTGGGTATTATTATTATATTGACCGTCTGTCCCTCCGGAAAAAATTCATGATTCCTTGCTTTCGGCGCGTTTTTTTTCCTCCATTCCGATTATTGTTGATTTGTTTGCATGTCAAACTCATAAATATTTGCCTCATTGGTAGTTATAATGTTCTTCATGAATTTTAAATCGGAATTTGCAACATCAAGCATGTCCAAAGAGACCTTTTTACTGTACTGTCGGGAAGAGTCACAACCAAAACATCCATCAAAATCATTCCACCGAACACGCAAGACATGTCCCTTGTCATTTTCGATATTATTATCGATTGTAAAAATCGCATCGCTCTACTGAGTGTATCGACTTAAGCAGCTGGCTTAAACAAACTGTCTGACAGATCGTGCTCATATTTGGCATAGTCATTAAGGACAGTTCTAACAATTTAGCAAAATACATTTTGTTGAAATATTATTTTCGCGGCGAACTTAATTACAATTTCCGGGTGTTTCTTTTTCCCAAAAAAAATTAATAAATATAAATTTCAAATTTCGGAACATAATGCAAATATTCATTTGTAACTAAGCGCTTTTTCGACTCGGAAAAATTGGCAAAGGAATGTGGAATGTGGAAAGTCCTAGTACAAGCGACACAGACCCTTCGTTTTTTCTCGTCAAAATTGTCGTTATGTGAACCGGTTCTTCCGGAGCAATATGATGAAATGAATAAAAAAGTAGATCTCGTTCAAATTTCCTTTACCCTCTAACCTGTCGAGTCGAGTAAAAGTAAAAATCAAGTGATAGGAAGAACATGGTTGTTAACTGTGTGCGGTCTCTAATAACTAATTCAATAATTATATAAAGGAAAGAACTTGATCTAAATTTCTAAATTGTATCAAAGTCCCACGGGCCCTATATCATGAAAAAAGGTCTTCATATGATTGCATTATGTCTACTATTGCCATTATGTATTTTTTACGAGGTTATTTCAACAAACCATGTTTTTCGTGACCACAACTCACCGTATTCTCATAAAATTGTCCGTGCAAGTCCGGCTTCGTGCCGCAGCGTGAGTACGATATCCGAAATGAGAAGAACGTTTTACCCGTCGACGGCGGTACATAAACGCAACGCGGATCGCTGTGTTGCCCTGTGGCGAATATAATTAATGGAAGTCAGTTAATAATTATAAAATAAATAAATAAAAAGGTATTACAAAAAGAAAAACAAAAAAAAAAAAAAGAAGAAAAAGTACCTTTTGAGCTGACGATGCCCTCGAATGGATGGGAAAATGTCAAATGTACATCCATATGATCCTTACCGCACATCACTTCTAAAGAGACTATGTTTGGCATTCCCTCCGGCCGTTCCATGGGCCACAATTCATTACCAGCTAAGACTAAACTAAACTGAAAGGAGATGGCGAACCAAAAAAAAAAAACAAAAAAAGAGAATATTAAACATGAGACTTCAATGCAGGTGTTTGTAAATGAATAAGCGGTTGTTGATAAGAGGGTAACATCATTTAAAAATATGTTAATGCTGCAAAGGAAAAAAATCACAAATACAGCTACAACAAAAATATGTTTGTATAATTTTAATTAATATTATTCGCACGAATGCTGGCGCGGTAAGCCAAGACACACACACTTACTCGCACATACAATGCCACGTGTGTGTCTGCCACGCGCAGAGTTGCCTCGGGAATACTCAACCCACTGGCATACCGACATTCAGGCATTTAGACGTGCCCGCATTGTCTATGTGTCAGCTTAAGTTCGTTCGCGCTGTAGTCGCCTGCCGCGCTTGGCCCGTCAGAGTGCCGCGCCGCGCGTGAATGAGTGTTAAGTGACTGGCGTGCGAGTGAATGAATGAATTAGTGAGTAAAGTCAGTGAGCGAGTATGTGCGCGCGTGCGATTCTTGGTGAATGTGGCAACTGTGTCTTGACCCAATTTTGCGTGCTACCTACCGCTTGCAACGCGTTCAATGCAACATTTTTGCTGCCTGATTATAAATTAAAAGAATATTATGCGCGTGTAAAAGTACACGGTTGTAAAGCAGCACGAAAGCAAAAAAAATCTGCAAGCAAATAAATGAGAAAAATCTTGCACAGGAAAATGGGGGAAAATGGTTTGGAAAAAAGTTACTCAGTTTTTTCCTTRCTTGCTTGCTTGTATGCAGTTCGCTTTTAGCAGCTTCTTGACTTACATCTGAGTTTCTACTTGCACTTCGTTTTTCGTTTTTTTTTCGCGCGCACTAACAACTCGCTACTTACTACTCGTCTACTACTCGCCGCTCTTCAATACACTTTGGCATGAGGCTGGCAGCTTGCTGTATGCCGCATAGAGTATGTGCTTGTTTAATTCATTTATAATTGCAAATGCAATTTTCATGTCAGATAGTCCAAAAGATCGCAGATAACCTCTGCAATGTTGGCTAGGCACACTCGGCAACTTTGTGTTGCCGCTCGCTGATTATAAATATTTTCCAGTCTCCTGTTTTTTGCAGTTTTAAGTGGCAGAAACAGTGTGAGCAGTGATTTCAATTAGTCGACGACTTGCTAGAAATCATAGTCTAAATTTTAGCACAAACTTATTTCTTTCAAACAAATCTTTGAGGTCGCTCAAGCAATAATTAAGAAAATGAAGGTTTAGCTTTCCCAATTAAAATTTTTATTTTCGTTTAAAGTAGTCTAAAAGTTGGATATCTTTTACATCTTTGAAAAAGAAAATTTCCAATTTTACAAGTAAAGTTAAAACAGGCTTTGCTGGAACACTGTGAAAGTAAAATTTGGGTTTCTAAGTTACACCTCGCACAGTCGAGAGGGGCAGAGCTAAGTCTCGAAAAAGTATTAAATTATTTTATAGGAATAGCAAGGACATCATCGTGAAGCCACGAAAGATCCAACTTGGACTGTTAGAGACGCTTATATGTTGTGCTGACCAAAACAAAGTGGTATGAATCTAAAAAACCGTTACAAATTGATAAAGCAAATTTATTGAGGTGGCTTGTATCCACTCCAATCGCTTCACGAGTAATATTGGGGGCGATTTGCGCCTTCCTAAATACTAGCAGCTCAATGAACCTTTTTCATTCAAAGTTATCAGGGTGCAATAAGCGAAATAGACACTAGATTGCTTTCGGTTTATATGACTGCCCATAAATAAATAACTACTGTTATTTCAGTAATATATTTCTAATTGGGAAAAATGAATAAAAGCTTCATTCTTTTCACTCGGCTACTTTTTCTTTCATCACATCTATTCAGCCCATACCATTGTTCTAAAGTTTCATTATAGGATTACTTACAATCTTAATTGTGATGATGACGCAGTCCTTTTATGTTTAAGGATTCGAGAACAAAACCAAATTTTCAACATCGAAAATTGCTTTATTATTTTTCGAAGTATTCTTCATCAAGACCTTTGCATGCTTTTAAACCAATTTTCTAAGCACTTTTACCACTCTGATTGAGGTAACTCCAAAACATGCATTCTGAACGCACCAACCGCCACTTCAGGTGTCGAAACCCGTTGAACTCTTAGTTTATTTTTTACGAACGGGAATAAAAATAGTCGTTCGATTCGAAATCAGATCTACATATACCGTGGATGACCCATCAAATTGAGATTTGATTACTGGAAAGTACAGTTGTTTCAGTCGATGTGTGAGAGTTAACATTGTCCTAGTAAAGTGTGATCCGTCTTTGGCGGCTTTTTTTTTCCTGATTTCTTGAAAAACAACTTGCAAATCGATGGTTGCGTATCACTCACAATTTATTGTTCTGCGTTGTTTTAGTGGTATAACTGCGATATATTTAGTTGTTCCAAAAAATTATATAACCATTTGCTAGGAATTGCTTCATGTAGGAACAACTTGTGTTGGTTGCGGCTCATCTCAACAGTCGACAGATCTTTACTTTCCGGCTCATACTAGTAAATCTACACGATTCATTACCTGTTACGATTTCATGGACGTTTTTCGAAGCACCGCTATCGTATGTATTTTGTAACATTTCTCTTGACCAATCGACCCCAGTCTCTTTTTAACGATCGATTAATTCTGTGGGCTCTAACATGAACAAATATTTTTTGCACTCGAATGTCCATGCAATATAGAATCTATGCTAGTCCCTCTATACCGATAGATGTCTCTATCTTACGATAAGGAGCAACAACTGATTTTGGACGACCTTCACGAAATCCCTCTTGGATTGATCTGGACCTCGATTGAATTCACTATACCATTGAGAAAGACTGGAGATAATCTACGTCGACAGTTGTAAAAAATAATCGCACAAAAATGTTCGCTATTTAATTCCATTTTTCGGCCGAGATGCATATTTTAAGTTACTGTAAGCAATACAAATAGCGGTCAAAATATTCTGAGTGTTTATAACATCCAAAATGTCAATCTTTATGATAAAGTTGTTGGTTGTTAGATTGTAAAACCAGAGTTGCCAATCCTGGGATATAAAAGGCAACCTACGTATTGGCTCAGGAGCCTATGCAGTCCAGATCACAGATAGTATGCACAAGAATCAATCTCTAAGTATTATTTTAGTTTGTAAACAAAGTCGTATTTATATTCAGCAAAGAACTTTCCCAATTTCTGGGCACATATTATTAAGTTTTATAAGGGAAAGGAACACTAATGTGCTGGAGGAGAATTTATATAAAGTTTCCCTCGGTCAACATTAACATAATACTCCACTGCATATATTTCTTTATTTATGATATACATATGTACATACAAATTCATGTATCCCCAGAACAAATGTGCATGTCTTGAAGTGTTAATTGAAGAAAAGAGCTGGTATTTGGAAACGTAAGTATTTAATAACATCAATTAATAAAATGTGGATAGCAATTACAAGTTGCACTTACGGGTTTGTTGAATATTGCAGTCCTGAAATATATATTAATTGTTTACATAGTCATTATGATATTAATAACTGACTATTGAGCGGTTTGCACTTTTAATTATACATACATATACTATTACATATAGTATCACGATAACAACAAATATTATTGTAGATTATCATATAGGATTTGTAGCGAAAATATTAGTTGCTTGTAGCAAAAGATAATGAGATTGGCCTACCTTGAACATAACAGAAACTGTAACCACACAGTTTATGGTAGTTTTTTATATTTGTAAATTGTTGGAGCTTTATTTGTAAAGATCGTTGAGCAGTAAGGGAAAGAGTTCCCACTAGAAGCATGACAGTCGTATTTGCTTATCGATTTGACCACTACTTTCGATTCGATTTCATTATGTAGTAGATGTTTCATAGGGAAGGGGTTATTCTCCAAGTCAAAGATGTCTCCACGACTTTGAAAACGCTGAGCATGATTTTGTTATTGTAGCGAGTGGGTAGCTTTTACATACTACCTAAGTGCTTAGAAATCAATGAAATATTGATATATTCATTACGATTGTGGCGCGAGTATTTTTCATGGCTACTTCACAAAGATATTTTTCCTATTACGTAAAATCTCATAGTCGAAAAAGTATTTTCGTATTTCTGATCAAATTTCAACATTTTTTTTCTATATAATGTAATTATGATAATATTTTAATCGACCACTTTTTGTCATTTTCCGCTTGAGACATTATTCCATCTGTGTAAAACTTTTCTGCTTTCTCGGCGAAAAACTGCGACAGGCTTCTCTTGAAGCCAACTTTACTCTATAAGGGTGTACCTAAACAAATGGTTGTCCGATGGTGCAATATTGGGGCTATATGGTGGATGCTTCAAAACTTCCCAGCCAAGCTCTGCCAGTTTTGCCGAGTGTGTGGTCTTTTTTTCGATTGCTTGCTTCAATCTCATGAGTTGTTGACAGTAAAATGTAGAATCAATCGTTCGACCAGGCTGTAGCAGCTCATAATGGATGATTCCTTTCCAATTCCACCAAACATACAGCATAACCTTTCGAGACGTCAGTTCTGGCTTTGCAACCATTTGTTGAGCTTCACCACGCTAATACCATGGTATTTTTCGCTCATTGTCGTAATTGATCCACTTTTTGCCTCCTTTACCATTTGCTTCAGAAATGGTTTGAAATCGAATTCGTTTCAGCAAAGAATCGCAGATGGTAATTTGGTCCATTAAATTTTTGACAGACAATTCACGTGGTACCCAAACATTGAGCTTCCTTTTGCAGCCAGTCTTTTTTTAAATGGTTCAAAACTGTTTAATGATGAATGTGGGGTTTCTTAGCGATGTCATGGCTGCTTATGTGACGGTCCTGGTCAATCTTTTCTATAATTTCATAGAATTTTTCATCGATTAGTCGACCAGGGAGAGATGCATCTTTCACATCGAAATTTCCAGAACGGAAGCGAGCGAACCATTATGATGCTACACGAACTGATACAACATCATCTCCGTAAACTTCTCCT